CACACACGCGGCCTCCTCGCACGCCCCGACACGGGGACCACACACACGTGTGGCAGAGGCCACCGGAAGGACAGCCGCGGGCAGACAGACGGACGGACGGACAGATGTACGCGCAGCCGGGCCTCGCACACGCACGCACACACAGACACACGCACACGCGTGCACGGAAACACACACGGACCCACGGGTGTGGGTGTGAGGACGTACAGATGCGCACTCCCATGGCACACGTGTGTGTACCCATGCACACGCCTGTGTACCCGTGTGCACATTCAGACACACACGTGTGTACACATGCATGCACAGAATCACGCATGTGAGCCCATACACACACGCACACACGCATGTGCACCAATGCTTGCCCACGTGTGCACCCACCCACATGCAGATGTGCACACATGTGTACCATGCACACACACACATGTGTGTATCCATGCACATGCAGAGATCCACAAACGCGTGTGTTCACCCATGCTCGCCCAGAAGAACACATAAGTGTGCCCTCACACACACGCAGATGTGCACATGTGTGTACCCGTGCACACGAATGCACACAGGTGTGTACCCATGCACACACAGGGACACACACACGCGTGTGCACCCATGCTCGCCCAGAAGCACACATACATATGCCCTCACACACATGCAGACACGCACATGTGTGTACCCATGCACACACAGAGATGCACACACGTGTGTGTGCACTCATGCAAGCCCAGAAGCACACGTATGCACTCACAGACATGCAGATGAGCACACTTGTGTACTGCACACATAAACACACACATGTGTACCCATGCACACATGGGGATACACACATGCATGTGCCGGTACACACACAGAGGGATGCACACACACATGTACCACGGTACAGACAGGGCTGTGCACACGTGGGTACCTGTGCACACACGGGGATGCACACACGCGTGTGCTCACCCATGCAAGCCCAGAAGAACACATACGTGTGCCCTCACACACATGCAGATGCGCACACACGTGTACTGTGCCCACAAACACACACAGGTGTGTACCCTTGCACATGCGGGGATGCAAAAACACGTGTGTGCACCCATGCTCGCCGAGAAGCACACACACGTGTGCCCTCACACACGTGCAGATGTGCACACGCGTGTACCTGTGCACACAAACGCACACACGCGTGTACTCGTGCACACAGGGGTATGCACATGCGTGTGTGCACCCATGCACGCCCAGAAGTACACACGCGTGTGCCCTCACACACGCAGACGCACACGCGTGTACCCTCGCACACAGGGGATGCACACACGCATGTACCGGTGCTCACACGCGTGTGCACCCC